GGGGGGGGGAATCAAATGTATTGCGAATGAAAATAGCATCCGAATGAAGATGGTAGGAAGTATTTTACACATAGCTAAGTTCATCAGAAAAATATGTCACTTGCGGGGAGAAGTGGTATGTAAAATCATCATTAATGTCATTTGCAAAAATAATGTTAATGTATTGTATTGACGTTTTAATAATGAATGCTGTTGAGAAAGTTCTTGTATCAATTAAAAAAGAAATGGTGTTTTATCTTTCATCATTTGTCGTTTTAGTTTTGCTAAGCTATCGAAAGGTAGAGACAAACCACAAAATTGTTCAATTATTTGTGATCCAGAAAAATCGGAAACTTCAGTTCAATTGTTGAATGCACTAGAGAAATCCACAAGTTGCCTGATATGCTTTTGGAATCTCAAGATTACTCAACATTTTCTGGTGGTAGATAGATTTATTATAATTTATATTAAAGAAACATTTTAGATTACAGGTATAAAGAGCTTAACAGGACCATCCTTTTAACTGTAGAACGAAAGTTGGAAAACACCCCTATATGGGATGCTTTTTCGGCCACAAAACAAGGGAAAGTTACAGGGATCAGTCTTCCAAAAAAACAGCCTCCCGCACCCCCGCTAGCAAGCACTGTTCTCCCAGAAAATAACCCATCTCGGCAAATTCATAATAAAGTATTTGCATGTTTTTCACAGTACTATCAATTGTCTCGTGGAATTAAGTGCTGTAAAATGGGTCAACTTTTAAGAAAATGAGTCCACATTATTTGAATTTACGCGTCAAGCGGGTCCACCCTGATATTGTCCTGACATTTTTAGGAAATATGTACCTCTAGATGCATGGGCGTCTAGATGGTGGGGACAGGGGGACGCGTCCCCCCACTTTTCAAAGTAGGGGGACATCATATCGATTGTTCTCTTCCCCCCCCCCCACTTTTCACCAATCTTCTATAATTAAATCCCCACTTTTAAAAGCGAATGGAAAGAATAACAATTACGCATGACGCATGTACGTATTTTCCGGACCAAAACCGAGTAAAAACGCAATTGTTTATACATTTCGTAACCATAAACCTCTAGATCGATTTTATGGGTGCAACGGTTATCAGAGGCTAAATTTATTATGAAAACAATGTACTTATAGGCCAATACTTATTAGGCCAATATTTTTACAAACTCAAAAGTGTACAATTTCTACTATAAACGATTTATTCCTTTTGTATATTATTATGACCCTTACGTTATGCTAGTGTTTAATATTATTTACATACATAGGATTACTCTTTTTCCTAATTTCAAAAATTATAGTTAGTCAATTGAATTTTATATAGCCGTTATTAAACAATAATTATATACAGCCTTTGACACGGATATGTCTATCTATTTCGATTAAGTGATAGGCCTACCAAAAATTTACAAACTCCAGTGTTACGTTGACGCAATCTCGCAATGACGTCACAATAATCAGTGGCGGATTCAAGTGGGGCCGAGCCGATCCTAAATTGTTCACAATTATTTTTTTTTTAAATGGAAAAAATACAAAGGAAAATTATAATTAGAATTTAGGTCTGAGAGTGCCATTTTCGGCAATCTAGAGGTGTCCATTATCATAAATTTTCTTTTTTCAGCCCCAACCATGGTGGGGCCGAGGTGATCTACTTACCCAAATTTTTTCTCTCTCTGTCCCCCCTCTAATTTTCTTTCCTGGAGCCGCCACTGATAATGATAAATTAAGTAAATCACCTTTATGTTTGTGAAATCAAAATGCTAACTTACTTTGTGTGCTCCCTCCCTAGTCCTGTTTGATCGTAAATTAAACGGTATTTCCACTCACAATAGTTTAGTCTCAATATTACTTACACAAAAGTGAAATTCAAAAAAAGGAGAAAAGCAAAAACCTCTTGATTGATTTTAAATACTGTACATGCAAAAAGACTAAATTAATGACTGTTTTAAGTTTATCTTATTTGTTTTTCGTGGTTCGAATTTTTAATACGTTACAAGCTAATCAGTAGATAATAAATCATTATTTTTATAAAGGATAGTTTGCACGAAATACATAAGCGGGCATAATTATGACTAAAAAGATAATTTTAAAAACTTTTTTATGATGAGTATTTCAGTGGCAGATTCACGGGGCCCAGCCATCCCACCATCCCTATTTTTTTTTTTTTTCGAAATTTAAAAGTGGAAAAAAAAAAAAATTATATTCAAATTCAGTCAGAGTGCCATTTCTGACCAACTAGAGGTGCCATAATCATAAATTTTCTTACCTCAGCCCCAACCATGATGGGGCTGATGTGGTCTACTCTCTCTATCTGTAAAAGTCCCTCTCTGGGCCCAGCTCTATTTCAAATTACTGGATCCGCCACTGGATATTTTGAAAATTTCGTATGGAAATAAATGTTATTTGCATTGCTTAAAATCAGTTAAAAGGCTATATGCGCCAGAGCTTCCGGGGGCTTCGCCCCCCTGTTCCCCAATCAATTCTTGGGCCTACGGCCCAAGGCTTATTTTTCATTTCGTCCCACCCACTTTCAACCACGGATCGACGCCCTTGTCTAGATGGCCGGAAATAACACTCTTATAATTAGTAAATTCCATCATCACATCACCATTATTTCTCGTGATCTTTTATCAGCGATTTTTGGCAACCATAGAGATCATTAGAAAGTATAATACATACTCCAAGTATTGAAATACTAGCCATCGTGTTGGGATTCAATATTTCGACATTAATTATGTCATCATCATTATTGCCTGATGATGACATAATTAATGTCGAAATATTGAATCCCAACACGATGGCGTGTATTTCAATACTTGGAGTATGTATTATACTTTCTTATCTGAGATTAATCAGTAGACCTTTCGGTTTTTATAGAGATCATTAATATGTGTGTTGTACGATAAAACTATAAACATTGTCTTTGATATAATACTTTACTTACTTGACTTCAAAGCTTTGAGACCACACCCACCACCCTGAGGTGCGACCATTTTGGGAAATAGTAGGCCTACCTCTACATGGCCGGAACTGGCACTCTTAGAGTAAAATTCGTCGTCATCACATCACTATTATAGTTTAAACGAAGTGCAAATTTCAAAACAAATTGCTTATGATCTTCAATCAGCGATTTTCGGCAACCAGATATAATTAATAGGCCTGTGTGTGATTTACCATAGAAAATAAGACTTAATTTTTTGATGTAGGCCTATTTACTTTACCTACTTAAAAGCCGTGAGTCCAAATTCTGAAATTGCTGAGTCGTTTGAGTATGATTTGTGCAAATGAAGACACATTTCACCGATTACAGGCCTATTCTATGCGGCAACAGCTATATAGGCCTAGAGATTCAGATAGCTGTGTGGTAAATATTATA